GATTACTGAAAAGAAGAAAATCGGGAATGTAGCTGGGAGTGGGAGGGAATTTACCTTTCCAAAGGTAACGTGTTGCAAGTGCTAAAAAGAGCATCATCTTCACATCAAATCAAGCAAGGTACAGGATTCAAGCAACAACGTGCCAAGAGGCAATTTCTCAGCAAGATGTCAGCATCAGAACACAAAGTGATGTGTCTGGAAGCAGAACTGCTGAGCTGCAAACAACCTGGGTGTGAGTCAGAGAATATTAGGACAGTGCCTGTCCACCAGGAGTACAGACTTGATTGCATGTGACTTGTGTCAACTCTGGAGACATCAAGAGCAGAACATAAAAGCAAGGCAACAGAGATATTTCTAAATGAGCCATTCAGCCTCTAAGGCAACGAATCTGGCAACAACTCAAGTTCCAAGAGAAAAAGTCAACATTCCAGGTTTGTGTTCCATGCTTATATCCTTCATTCATTTTTTTTCAGGAAAAAGGTCACTGAAACATCATGTTTTAAATCATGAAAAGACACGACCATCTCCTTTTAAACTAGCCCATAACTTTGAAACCAGAATCCAATTGCCTGTTCAGGCTCATTAGTGTCTTTGGATCCTAATGACCCACTCAGTTGCAGTAAATGAAAAACTAATCCTTGTTTTATGCCATTGGCTGAAAAGGATTAGCCAACTTTTGCTACCCAGGCAATCAGCCTTGCGCTGGGGAGATTACTGCCATCTAATACTGTAAGTCTACACATTCCAATCTGTTACACTAAGTAGCACTTAAAGCTTATTTCCTTGAAATGCTTAAGTGTATTAATGCTATAGCATAAAATTGTTTTCTTACAATGCAATGATTCTTCTACCCCTGCCCCCAAAGTTTGCATTTACCCACACATATGCAGTGATGACCCTTTACTTCCAACATTAAGTTTTACTTATGTTCATAGTCTTGAAATGAAAAATGAAATAGAAATTCTTCCTTTGTACATGGTTGCCTGCCTTGTTTGGACCCTATACAAAATTTCAATGGGGTTCAGTGCAGTAATTTTCTTGAATTGTGTGGAAAGACTGCAACTCAGACTGTAAACAGTTGCAACTGAAACCAGGGTTTTAATTAATTGTTTGATGTTTAAAGATCCAGGTGATCTTTTTTGCATCCTACTATTAATCTTAACAGGGAGCTAGAAATAGAGCCACTACTCGCACTTAATGTTCTCTAATGAACACTGGGGGTTGTAACTCAGGTTTGTACCACTTATATCACTGCAATTTTTCCAACCCAGAATTCTGGTTGCTCTTGCTATGTTACACATAAAATAAGTGATCAATTATATGAGATGAGTCTACAGTGTAATGCTATATACATATTTTTTTTCCTCAAAGTATTCACACAATGTTATAATTGAAAATTTAACATGGTAAAGAACCAGTTTTACCACTATCACATGCCCCATTCATACTTCAACACTGAACAGTTTTTCTGACAGAAAATTAAGGAACTCTTCTGTTTTTATCACTTTAAGCATTATATATAACAGCACAATGAAATTTGTCCTAAAGAATATTATGCTGTGCATATATGCTTTATATTGATAGACTTAGGCTGAAGCTATGGAAAATGAATAAATTGCTCTTAACTGGAAACCTGATTTTTGAGCGGCAACAGTTTGATGAATGTCTAATTTTCTACCAAAGGTGGTGCTTGAAGCCATAAAACAGCATTACGTTAAAATAAATGCTATATCCCACAACTGCTGGAAGTCATTCCATTAGTCTTTACCTCCTAGTTTCTAAATCATCTTTTTAGCATCAAACCTGTTCAGCTGCTGCTTATTTGTTAGCCAAATATCCTGGACTGTTTATGAGCATGTTTTACATTTATGCATCAGTAAAATTAACAGTAGATAGGGCTCCAGTCAAAGTGTTATATCACCTTACAAATTATAATGATTTTTTTTTACTGGAAGATCACTTTGCATAACAAGGCAAATGTGGAGAAATGCTCTTTGTGTTATTTCTGATCAGAAAAATGATATCTCCATATAGATATTATTTCTCTGGAAGAAAGAAAACTGAGGCATCAGTGTCTTCCTCCCAGCAGCAGCAGGTAAGAGTGTAAATTTTATTCTTCACTGTTCAAAAACTGTACTCAACAAATTCAAAAATTGATTTATTCAAATGTCATATTTCCTAACGTTTTGGTGACATAAGGTATTCAACCAGCACTGACCTAATGCTGAGTGGTACACTACCTTTTACAAGGAATTTTCAAGTTAAATAGTATTATGTCAAAAACATCATTAAAAACTTAAATGGAACAGCAAAGATATCAGGGCCCTAAATAAACATTTGCCTTCTGGTTAGGATACTCATCTAAGATTCAAAGTCAAATCCCTGCTCTGTTTATTTAAGAGAGGGTTTTTTATTGTTATTACCTTTGGGCTCAGTTGTGAACCTGAATTCTATATTACTATGCGCAATACAAGGACAGAACAAAAAGGCAACCCCCACCTCCAAGGAGTCACAGTAGAAGTACCCAGTATAACCATATTACCACTTTGCAGCCAGCTGCACTGCTCTTAGGAGATTACAGCTCCCACCTGCCATTGCTATCCCACTGCTGGAGGTTACTGGTCTATAGTTAAGTTGTAGTTGTGTGTGTGATACCTGTTCCTCATCTACTGGAGTCCAGAGTCAGCTAAGTTAGCTTTCCACATTTTCAACAGTGATACAAATTAAATTTACTGACTCTGCATTGAGGAATGAGGAACTAGCACACAGTCCATTTACTGTATCTGCACCACAGGGCAATAACTGCAAATAACAAGTGATAATGAGCAAATAGCAGTTTGCTCTCAAGCAGCCCTGCTATATTGACAAGAGGATCTCTGTCTACACTTCCAGACCAGAGATGGACATAATTAGGTGGGTATGTAAAGGACAAAACAAAATCACATTGGTCAGTGTTACACATGCTAGTCTCAGCAACCCAGCAACATGACTGCTATTGATTTTTATAGGCATAGTAACAAGGGCAGAATTTTAGGCAGAATTTGACAGATACTAATGAAAAATCGCAGCGCATGTTTATAAGCAGTTCATGCTCTAGATCTCAGGAAAGTATCCCAAATACTGAGTGCTTGCCTTTTCTGAAGTAGCTTTCTCTTTTATGTTATTAATCAACCTATCCAATTTGTGTAAGTAAACATCCAGCAAGACCTAGAACTATGGTTTCTCCCTTTAGCCAGCAGCCTTGACTATGGGACTGTAACGTCAGAGTCATGGATGACAGAATGCATCTGAAGACAGGAAAGCAAGCTTCAGTTCTAGAATAACTGAGCAACCAAATTTGTACTTTCCAGCTTTCTAAATGATCTCAGAATATCTGCTAGTAGCGTACCCTAAAACGCTACCCCAAGTAACGTAGCTAGGCTCTCAAACTTGCCTCTAGCTTATGTTTTTCAGATTGAGAGGTATGCAGTAGTTTAGAAAAGCTGTTTAAAATAGATTAACATGGAAACCCACATTCGGAGAGCATAAAGTCCACCAAATCCATGTGTCTCACTTATTAGCTGCATCTCAGCAGCACTTCACTAAAACTTCCTGAATGCCTCTCTGGTAAAAAAAAAAGAAAAAAAAAAAGAAAAAAATCCAACTTTCACAAATCTCTAGGCACAAATACTTAAGGAGAAGCTAGGCTGCACAAAAGTAGTCCTAAGGCATTTAGAGTTTGGCATAAAAGAAGTAGTGGCATAGATAATACAGCTTTTGGTCATTTAGGGCTTTGCAGGTCAGCAGAGGGAAGGGGACTCTATTCCTCTTCGGACTTTGTTGACATTTCATTGGCAGACTGTGCAGACAATACTGGCAGGATGCTTTTTGCCAACCCGTTCCACTTAGTCTATGTGCCCTTCTGACTAGTTTGTGCATTCGTAGCATCTTCTGTGAAGTCTGCTGAATGATATGGTCTCCTCTTTATTTGCTCTGCTTCCATTTTGGCATTTTGCTTGCCTGCTGTCAGGCAGTGTTTACTTCCTGGTAAGTGCCTGAGAAACCCAATTTCCCCTAAATTCCTAAGAGGTTTCAAAAATTAGTAACCTATGTTTCACATGTAACAGAAAAAAAACAACCTCAAAAGTGAGCTGGTATTTCCTCCAAAGGCCATAAATGTGAGACTGCTGGTTCTAGAGAAGCTGGTTCTGAGGGATTCACAGGGCACAGTGCTGTGGTGGCTCAGAACAGTCATCATTCCTTGCTGAGTAACCCTGATACTGTCTTCACAGCCAGCCATTCCATAAGGAAAGCCATTTTTGGAGAACTGGTGGCTCTACTAGTACTGACCACAGTTAGACTTTGGGAACTGTCTGCTTTTGCACCTTTTTTTGAAAGATACTAGATAAAGAAGAAGGAACTTGCTTCCAGTGTTTCATGTTAGAAAGAAGTTGAAATGGTATTATAATTGCAACATTATTTCACATTAGATATTAAGAAATACCTACAAAACTATACATAAAATTAACAAAAATGTTTATTTCAAAAATTTATAAATATTCTGTGTATAACAGCTAATTTAAGAACATTGTCTTTAACTCAAATTCAGCTTTTATTAGTACAATAAACAGTTATTCTTACTAACACTTTCTATACAAGTTACTTAGTTGATATCAGAGGCTGAAAACACTCATATAGAAATTTAGATGCTCTCTCACAGATATTGAATTAATTCAACACTACTGTAAAATGATACTTCTGCTGCTTCTAAGTTCCAATTTAGCAAAAGCGTATCATAACATTTTATGAAAACAACATATTTAGAAAATAAATAAAAATAAAAGCTGCATCTCAAAGCATGTGTGCTTGAGAAACATACACATGCTCTTGCAGCAATTGCAATAACGTATTCTTACATGAAATGAAAGGAGAAGATTAAATGCTTTGTACTTTAACTTAAAAAACTGAAAACATTTATCAAGGCTAAGTAGGAAAAGAATTTAAAAGGAAGTCAAAGGTATTCAAAAGAATGTAAATGGCTTTGTGTTTTGTAAGGAAGAATGAAAACCTTTCACAGAAGGAGACTGTGATGATCTCTGATCCTGTCCAAATGCAAATGGAAAACTAAAGTCATCTTTTCCATCTCCAAATGCATGAGAAGTCGATTCCGAGGCGAAGGGAAAGGCAAATACATCCTTACTTTCTGATTTCCCAAACAAGCTTCCTATATGGAATACAAATTATATTTATTATTAGATTAAATCTTACTGAAAGAATACTGCATTCAGCATAACATGTTTCTTTAACAATATTGTACTCCCAATATCCCGCTGAGTATCAGCCTACGGTTGTGTGTTTATTTCTGCACTAGAAATGGTACTTCAAGGAGGGCATTATTAGAATCTACACAGAATGAAGTGTGAAGTACTTCAATGACTTAGAACAACAAAACACTTCTGTATGATATACTGGGTGAAATATTTTGAATACTAAGCAGCAGAGGTTTTTGTAAACTGATATATTTTTGCAGATGCTTTCTTCTCTAAAGAACAATGTGATCAACCACTGAAATATTGGAGAAACAAAGCGACGACAGAAAAAGACCTGAGATTTATATTTAGTTACAAAAAATTCATACGCTTTTCTTTACAACAGTTACGTATGCATACAACCTTACATTCATCCACCAAAAAAGTATCCTTGCACTTGCAGCACCTCAAAAAAAAAATTACAGTTCCCTTCAGAACAGTGTGCGATCAAGAGTAAGTTTTGATCCTATTGATATCACAAAAAATTCACCTTTCATTTCAGTAAAGCCAGGTTTTCACACAGAATGTGTACATGTGTGAGGCTCGCTTAGTATGAATGGAAAATATTGTTTATTAAGTCTGATTCTCCTCCCTCTAACTTGTGCTATTTTTACATTGTGTACCTCCAATGGTTTAAACTGATGGAAGTCAGTTTACTATCGAGATTTCTTTAAGCAAATGGAAACTTCATTTTCATTTATGTGAGGGAGGAAAAAACCCAACAGATGTACTCTTTTCAAAACTAAGCTGGTAGCCTTAAGTGAAAAAGAAGTATTTACCAAGTACTATAGATTTTTACATTACAAGAACTGTTCTTTTTATCCGCGAAAAAGCTTTGGCACTTAAATTTTTCTTCTCCCTTGCAGCTCCTCTCAAGTTTGCTACAAACCCACCTAACACTAGCCATATTTCTTTCTTTCTCATACCTTTTTTTTCATGATATCTCATACATTTGAAGTCAAACATTCAGAGAAAGATTTAAGCTAGTCCAAACACAAATGAACACAATAAACCACTGTTACATCCACAATGTTACATCCTTTTAGACAACCAAAGGTGCCCTGTTAAGCAGGATCATGAGCTTGTCAGTCATATAGTCATAGAATCATAGAATCGTTTAGGTTGGAAAAGACCTTTAAGATCACCCAGTCCAACCATTAACCTAACACTACCAAGTCCACCACTAAACCAATTAAGGGTAGAGTAGCAAATTCATGTTTCCTGGCTTGGTGGCTGGATTATTTTTTAATGAAAGTAAAAACTAGGAATCATTAAGGTTGGAAAGAATCTCTAAGATCATCAGTCCAACCATCAACCCAACACCACCATGCCCACTAAACCATGTCCCAAAGTGCCACGTCTACACATTTTCTGAACTCTTCCACGGATGGTGACTCCACCACCTCTCTGGGCAGCCTGTTCCAATGCTTGACCACCCTTTCTGTGGAGAAGTTTTTCCTAATAGCCAATCTAAACCTCCCCTCGCACAGCTTGAGCCCATTTCCTCTTGTCCTATCATTATCTACTTGGGAGAAGAGACCAACACCCACCTCACTACAACCTCCTTTCAGGTAGTTGTAGAGAGCAATAAGGTCTCCCCTCAGCCTCCTCTTCTGTAGGCTAAACAATCCCAGTTCCCTCAGCCGCTCCTCAGAAGGCCTGTGCTCCAGACCCTTCACCAGCTTCGCTGCCCTTCTCTGAACACGCTCCAGCACCTCAATGACTTTCCTGTAGTGAGGCACCCAAAACTGGACACAGTATTCCAGGTGTGGCCTCACCAGTGCTGAGTACAGGGGGACAATCACCTCCCTGCTCCTGCTGGCCACACTATTCCTGATACAAGCCAGGATGCTGTTGGCCTTCTTGGCCACCTGGGCACACTGCTGGCTCATGTTCACCCAGCTGTCTACCAACACCCCCAGGTCCTTTTCAGCCAGGCAGCTTTCCAGCCACTCTTCCCCAAGCCTGTGGCGTTGCATGGGGTTGTTGTGACTCAAGTGCAGGACCCAGCACTTGGCCTTGTTGAACCTCATACACTTGGCCTCGGCCCATCGGTCCAGTGTGTCCAGGTCCCTCTGTAGAGCCTTCCTACCCTCGAGCAGATCGACACTCCCGCCCAACTTGGTGTCATCTGCAAACTTACTGAGGGCACATAAGCACAAGTAGAAGACAGATGGTATACAAGTACCCAGACAAGTACATCTGGGATTCAGACTTACCAATATCTTTGTTTGGGGACAGAGGGTTCAAGTTTCCCACAGAAAAACTTTCATCTGTCTGAAATATAAACAGTCATTTTATTTAATGAATGAGAAAGACAAAAGATAAGCTCTAATGCTGATATGTAATTAGTTCATTTGCTTTTGGTGAGAAAGACATTATCCCAGTGAATGCTGGCAGCCTTCACAAAATCTGCATTTAAATGTATATATTGGTCCCTAAAGTCGCAAGGTAAACTCTTTGATGAGATAGGTTTCATAATATTGGCTTACATCTGCAAATACACTCCCTCCTCTCTTCAGGGAGAAAACATCAGATTGAGAACAGACCAAAACCTGATCTGGCTTCCTGCTGTTTTTTAAACTGAAAAGATTCAAAATTATTTAATCCTGTGACAGTTTAGAAAACCTCTAAACAACAACATAATTACTGCCTACTGAGTAGGACCTGATATTGCCAGAAAGAGTAGCAGAATAACTACTCATCACTCTTGAGAAGAGTTCTTAGCTATCTATTATAAATCTAGCCTAAGGCCAAATGAAGACCTTCAAAACTCCCCTCTAACTTCAGAGAATCCCACATGACTACTAGAGGCTGGTAAATTCTTGGTTTCTGCCACTCAGCAGGCACAAAATAACATGGGTTCTAACAGCACTAGGTGCCTTAATACCTACCTCATTCCTAAACAATTCACAAACTGCTCACCAATCTATTCTCTCCTACACACAGCTGATGCTAGGAGGTATCAACAACACATATCTTGCCAAATACAAAATAAAATGGTGTTTTCCCTCTTCCCTCCTTCAGCTTTTATCTAGTAACCTCAAGACTGAGCACACCCACTGAAATAGGAGATATCTGGGTTCAAATCCCTCCTTTGCATAACAGGGTTTGAATCTACATTGCCAGGGAGTGATACCTAACCACTGCACTGTGAACTGACACACATTCATCCTGAATACCTGTTTATCTATCTATTATCCCAGGCAAGTAAAAATTACTCTAGAGCACTGTAGTTAGGGAACCTGCAAAGGAAAAGGAAGACCCAGATTCCACTCCCTGTTCCAATTAGTTGCCTGCGTATCTCCTCCATTTAAGTACAGCTAATCAATATTTGCTCTTCAGTATTCCTGATAGATAGTCCTTCCTTTCTTTTCTCAGTGTTCTGCATTTTGTGAAAAATGGAGGGGAAAAAATAAAATTTTAAATACCTGATTCCCCACTTCAGCAAGACGAAACCACACAGGATAGACATGTGAGTTGTGAATTCTGCTAGGGTACCTACGGTTTTGCATTGCAATGCTGAACCAGAAGCCTTTTTGTGCATCTAGCCACCTGTTTATTTGCACAAGATCCAATCTTGCCCATATGGGAAAGATTCACACTTGGTCACCATAGAGGGATGACCAGGAAAGGAGATAAGTGTTTTCAAAGGAGATCAGGTGTAAAACTAAGCAAGCTAGTAAAAAATTATTTGCTACAAACATAACCAGTCTGAAAAAACCTACTCACTGTCAATGCTGCTTTCTTAGCATATTTTGCTTTGTGAAAATTTAATATTCTCAAGTACTCATTTTTACCTCGTCAGATGAATTTTCTGTCCCAAACACAGAAGAATCAAATAAATTAAAGCCAGGTGACTTCTGAGAGAAGTTCATGAGAGAAAAGAAAGCTGGAGATTTTGACGTTCCTTCTTCACAACCTAAATTGCGAATGCTGTAAAGACAGAAAGGAAGAAACTACATTAATAGTTTTTTTAAAAGTAGCGTAGATGGCTTTTTTGTTCTCTTTTTTCTTTTTCTGTTTTGTCACTTTTTTAGATTCCCACAGCTTCCATTAATAATTGCTTCTTGCAACACAGAATGGGTAACACAACTCTTTAAAGCAAAGTGAGGTGGTGTTCTTACCAATTCCCTACCCTTTTACCAAAAAAATGTTTAAAGATAGAAATTGGTGTAACAAATATTGCTGCAGGAAAAGACAACCATTTTAGCAAAGGAGCTACAAAGAACCTGTGTCTCATATATTTCTCAGCAGAGTCTCCCTTCTTCAAAATGGCTTCAAGTGGAAATGGCACTCTAAGAAGAAAATCTAATAAATTACCTAGCATAACTCAGAAAAAAAATTTAGTATTGTCAGAATAGCTTTCTAGAGAAGTCCTTCTATAGTATCTTTCAAAAACAGTGGAAATGCTTACACAATAAACATCAATACAACTTTGCTCAAAATCAAAATAAAAGCTGAAATCATACAAGTCAAATGGAGGTGTTTTAGAGAACTGGGTTTTCTTCCCCTTTGAGTCAGGCGTTCCTACAAACTCAGGTGTTTCAGGTGCTCTTAGAAAATGTTCTGCACTTTCTTCTGCTGTGTCAGAATTATCTTCATTTGACTTAAAACATGTTTGCATGTCCTATTAAAAAGAAATATACAATAATGTTTATGACATAAAAATTTCAAAAAATATCATTAGTCCATTTACCTATAAATATATTCATTATATGTTTTAGGGTTAGTTAGTTATTTTTATTCTCATGAAAAATAAAAGGATTTTAATAAAATGCTCACAGTGACATATTCACCATGCTTAAAACTGTAACTTTAATTTATCTAATTTAAAATGGACTTACTGTGAATGAAACTATGTATGAAAATTTTCATTCAAAAAATAAACTCGTGAACTGACTGAAAACACTGATTTTGAATAAAAGAACTATCTCACTCTAAAGTATGTCTTAGCGTAATGCTGAAAGTCACACTGGAATCCTCTTGATACTACCTAGTGAAATAAAGGAACATCACCATCAGAATACATTTCAGTTGACTGAGATATTTCCTCTTCCTCAGAAAATGTTAAATGAGAATGTACACTTGGATTCTGTGGAGCAATTTCCACCAGACTCAATATTCTTTTAAAGACATTCTTCTCCACCAGCTGCCTGCAGGCGTCAGCCTGTAGGGAGCCAACCAGAAGATGAGGAGAGTCTCAAACTTGACCTTGTGTACTGGTTTTGGCTGAGAGTTCATAGCGTGTACAAGGCTATGTTTTGGATTTGTGATGAAAACAGCGTTGATAACACAGGATCTTTTAGTTATTGCTGAGCAGTGCTCACTCAGCGTCAAGGCCTTTTCTGCTTCTCGTGCTGCCCCACCAGTTAGCGGGTTGGGGGTGCACCAGAATTTGGGAGGGGACACAGCTGGGACAGCTGACCCCAACTGACCAAAATGGTATTCCATATCATATGATGTCGTGCTCAGCAATAAAAGCTGTGGGAAACAAGGAAGAAGGGAGGGATGTCTGGAGTTCTGGCATGTGTCTTCCCAAGTAACTGTTGCATATGATGGAGCCCTACATTCCTGGAAATGGCTAAACAACTGCCTGTAGATGGGACGTAGTGAATGAATTCCTTATTTTGTTTTGCTACCATGCACAGCTTTTGCTATACCTATTAAACTGTGTTTATCTCAACCCACAAGTTTTTGCACTTTTACCCTTCTGATTCGCTTCCCCATCCCACTGTGGGGGGAGTGAGCAAGTGGCAGTGTGGTGCTTAGCTGCTGGCCGGTGTTAAACCATGTCTTGGTATCACCTATATGTGCAAGCTGTACACACAACTGGCTTGAATATTACAGCATGATCTCACATTCTGGCACAGCTAGTAAAAGCAGTGCCAATGGAGCCATACAGACTCTGTGGCCAGCACAGAGCCTATTTACTATAGTTTTGTGGGAGAAATGAGTTTTAAATGCAAACATTTTTTTGAAATGTTTCATCAGCTCACACTGATGAAAATGATATGCACCAATTTATACAAAAACTATGATGTGCATAGGATAGTCACCCTAATTAGCCTGTGGTTAAGGTAGCATAAAAACCCACAGAACACTGACATGATCAAGAGCAATGATCACTAGATTAGTAATCAGAAGGCTTCTCTGATTGGCTTCTCACTTGTTGGGTGCCTTATAATGAGTCACTTTGCCAATTTCTGAGACTTACCTCTTGCCAATAGATTCAAATATGTCAAGATACTTTGACTATTCTAAATAAAATAATTACTTATGACATAAGAAATGCTTTGCTTACTTGTAAATTTGAAGAATCCTTCGGCTCATCTTCTGCTTCTTTATCAACACATTTGGCCTCTTGGTTTGCTATACAAAAAAGACAGCACTGCTTGTATTATAACAGCATTTTAAACGGATAAAATTATGTTATGGGAAAGAATCCTTGAAAAAGGTTTACTAGCTTGGCATTCCTATGGGTAAGGAAGTGTTCTTCCTGTAGTTTTCATAATAACCCACTTTGTGGCTATGTCCATAACCCTCTCATTCTGCCACTTACACGCGACTGTTAAAGCAACGCTTAGGCTGCTTCATATGGTTTGGTGCATTCTTCAAACCTAGGTACTGTTCCCTGAGAGTGCTATGTTTGTCTAATCCAGCTATTACCCTCTGAGCCCGCTAATACCAGTCAAGAGAATCCAGGTGGAAACAATATAAAAAGCACATCCATATGACAATGATGAAGTGCATCTTCAAGAACTGAGCAAAAGCCAGGATGAGAAATGAGAAGAATGTTATCAGACTTTCTCCTCTAAGCTTCAAACCATGCAACATTTCGGGCACTGTGGGTTCAGATCCTGTGTTTCAGGACACATAATTAGGATCCTATTTATAGAAAAAAAATAGACTATAATTTTTGACATGCATCTAAATTGGCAGTACAATTAGAAAAAATATATTTCAATGGAAGCTCAGCACCTTGTGATTTGAAAAACTATACGTGTATTTGTAACTACCCACTCGTTTCTGTAAGCATTCTGTATGTATTTCTCAAGTTAATTTTCTTTTTTAATAATCTTGATCTGATGCCTCAAGATTCCTAAATTACTGAGTTTATTATATCCCTTTTCTTTGCATTTTCTCATGCCTCCTGGGCAGGTTTTTAGACTGGATTTTGTTTTACCCAAGTAATTTGAGACTAGAGCATGAATTTACAAGAGATGCTGGAAGGTTCCTTTCATTAGCAATGGTCAGTGCAGACTGAATCCCACGTTACTAAGCAGTTCAGTCTCTATTTAAATTAGGACTCTGCCTGTCTGCTATACTGAAAGTTTTAACTAAATAATCAAGGTGGAAAAGGAATACAAATGGTGGCCCACTTGATACCAGAATTAAAATCTGACCCCTAGAATTTTCTCTTTTATAATTATGTGATCCAGCATACAGTAACTGCACATTCTATCAAAAAAATGACAGTGGTACTTTACCTATTACTGCATTTTCACTCTCAGACTGTTGATTAGAAGTTGTCTGCTTTGGAGGAATTACCAGTCTAAAAGACAAAAATTACTGTTTGTCTGAATATGGATTGTTTACATAAACCTTCATCTCAAGAATGGCAACTACTTTATTCAAGAAAAGTTACCTGAGTTGCATTTGGTTTGGTAAGCTTGCTATTGATGGAACTTGGGCAATTTGCGGGTTATTGGTCCCTGTAGTGTCAATAACCATCTAAAAGATAGCAAAAAATTCAAATGAGGCAGCCTATGAAATTGTCGCCTCAACGATATCACTCTGATTTCTCCTTAGACTGTGGCAATCTGTTCTTTTAACCTCTCTTCAGGGATCAGGCAACATGAAAACTTTTTTGCCTACCTTTGCTTTACCTACATTTTAACAGCATGATACCCAAAACAACTTCTAAAATATTTTATAAAGTCTCCTTCACAGCATTGATGACTAGAGGTGAATAATTAACTTTTCTGTTGTACAAATAACATTACATAATTTACAAACTTTATCCAGGTTTTCTACTACTGCAGCCAGGTTGCTCCGGCTTGACAACACAGAAAAGGCTGGAACCAAGCCTGTCTCCACCTCCAAAGGCCACAGTGAGTGAATATGTCATCAGTGAATAAGTCTCCTGTGTGGACTGAAAAACTGCAGTAAACATGGAAATACTCCCACCTCACAGATTTTCATCAGATCAGAAGCCTTAACTGTTATGCGTATGTAGCATGTATTTGTGCCTTAAGGGCAGAGTGGCACTAGGAATCTATGCCTCAGCACCAGATAACACATTACTTCACAGGTTGCTGCTAGTTCTAGTTTGGTTTTAATTTGCAAAATGTATCAAACTGAATTCAATTCTGGGTGGGGGACAAAAGGACTGGCTATATAGAATCTGTCTGCCACCCAACTCCTATAGTTTACAGCACTCCTTTTCTGAAGCATAGCAACCTCCTTTCTTCCAATCTTTTTATTTTTCCTCAGACTCCATCTTCTTTCCCTTGTTGCCATCACCCTTTCTTAAAGTTCCCTTAACCTTGACTTACTGCTTCCCACTATTCTCTAAGTGCAATTCTAGATCCCAGAATCCCATCCTCATCTCTGGATTACCCTGGCAACAGCCTTTCCATCATCCCCATCATGTTCAACTCCCTCAGACAGTCACAAATCAGAACTGCTTGAAATTCTCCTGGTCTTGTTCCACTCAGTGTAGCCATTGCCCTTCATGTTGTCTTATCTTATGAAGGCTTCTTCTTCTGCCACTTCTCAAGCGTACAAAGCAACGCTGCTTGTGCTTTTACTCCTCTCAGCCCAGATTTTTGTCTCTGGTTAAACTTCAGAACTGAGCTGTTAACTGTAGGCAGTCCTGTATAGCATCCTGCACATTTAGTCTTTTATGAAATCCTTCATTATGCAGTAGATGACTGATGAATAATCAGTAATAGAAGACTATGTTCCTCCTTTAGAATTCAAAAAATTTGCTACATTCAACCAAGTGAATCTACAAAGGTTATTCTAAATTTTAAAAACTATTACACAAAATTAATTGGATAGACAGTCCACCTCAGGTTTGGCATTAGAATGCCTACTATGACTACCAGTTGTGCTTTGCAAGAACATACATATTTTCAGTTGAATTAGAAATGGCACCAAAGAAAGATTTTTATTATGATTACCAAGTAATAGCAGATCACCAAGATTAGCGTCCTGGTTCCAGTGTTAACAAATTTTATGTAAGATATAATAGCACTAGGTATATTTTAAGTGTTTTAAATTTAAACAACCACTTAAAAAACCAATTATATAATCTTATGTTTTCACAAGTGGGAGAGCTGCATACCTGTGACAAATCTTCTGCAAGGCTGGAGGAACTGCTAGTGGCCACTGAAAGTTCCATAGGTTTTTCTTTTTCTTCTCTCCCTGAATTAACAAATATTACTTAATATTGTCAATAGGATTAAGTATCCAAAGCATGGCATTGTTCAACTGAACTTGGGAACAAAGCTTATAAATTTTCCTGTTAGTAGAGAGCTAAAAGGAAATTATCACAAAATACGAAAGTATAGATCAATTTACTGCAAATAATAGTCAGTTAATATTTACTGTATTTATGCAAACAGTGTTAAAAGTATGTTTCAGATTTTTCTGACACTATGCTCAGGTATACCTGTCACGTTACTTTACTCATTGCACAGAAAAGAAAGGAATTGGACATAGAAGGTTTTCAGAACATAAAGACAGGTAAGTACCCAGCTTCCATTGAAAGCCTGACTTCATCTATCACAGTAGGAGCAGTTCACTAGATTTGTTATCATGGTTTCCATTCATTTACACAAAAATAATCCAAAACCCTCACAGAAAGATCACTAAACACACTGCACCTGTCTCTGTTTGTTGCATTGAGAATTTAATACTTTGTACAGGCCGGACTAAATTCTGAGGAATGCATGGGACATGTAATGGTTTATACAGCTGACGTTTCTCATTTAGCAAAGATGGATGTTCGCTCTCTTCAAATATCCTAAAAATTTTTAAAAAAATTAAGTCAACAATTGCAAATGAAAAGAAATCATAAAATACAACTGCTTCATCTAAGTGGAGTTTTCAAGGGAGATACACACTGCCAGGGAGGTTCTACCTCTTTCAGCTCCAGCAGCTGATAAAAATTAAAGTTTTCTTCAAATAATATCAGACAGAGAATACTGCTGAAAGCAGAAGACCAAGTAGTAATAAGGCAATCATAAGAACATTGCTCACTTAAATTTTGTCAGTATCAAAGCAAAGTATTACTAGTTTGGGGTTCTACACTTTTATCAAAGTACTTCATTATTGTAGTTCTGAAATCACACTTTCACATTTAAACACACTTTTTCTCTCTCTGAGATTGTCTGGAATACTCACACTATACACACACAAAAGAGAAAACTCTAGCAAGTGTTTTCACTTGTGGGGTAATTATCTGTGTAGGCTAAATAGCCTTTTGCAGTGTAGAAAGACAAAGGTTAGCAGAACAATGCAGGGTAAAGTGGCCATTTGGCACAGAAACATTTACCATTTTTTAAAATAATGAGTTCTATTTTATTTTCTCTCTGGCATTCTTGCTTAGGCCTCTGTGCTTCTAGCTACAACATCTGGTTTATAGCTGACTAAACAATGCTATTCAGAACAAATGAAGAACTGAGTCAGTCTTTTTGTTGTTCTTGAAATTTTCCACAAATAAAAATAAGGTACAATGTAGGATGTACTTTATAAGGTACTATGGAGTAAAATTAGCAACACTACTGAAAAAAAAAATCAAACTAGAAGCATTGGTTAAGATACATGGACCTAACAACACATTAAACTAATATACATGCACAACTGTGATCACATAAAACCATGAATGCACCTCAGTCAAATAACTCTGATGAAAAGGACTATCTTCACCTGTAAAGTTACATATACACCTAGTGCTGTGCTGGACTGAGACCTAACAAACTATATAAACCATATCTCACCTAATAGATCAATCCAAAAAAAGCCAGGAATAATAAAGGCTTAAAAAAAAAAAAATTTGTACTTCTTTCAGTTACAGTAATTATAGATATTACCTGTGTCAAGAATGAGTACTACAGGAAATAAGGCTGGTGTACCTTTAAATTCAGATGCAGGCAACGCAAAGACAAGGAGAAATAAAAGGATAGCTGAGCACAGAATCCTGGCTAAAACTGCATCACTTTGTTCAACACGGCTTATGTGGCCACTTTGCCATAGTCATAATTCAAAAATGAATTGAACAAGGCTGCTGCTGCTGAGGTCATGAGTTAGGTTGCCATAAGCCATTTTTTTAACAGAATTTAGGATGCCAAATTGTGTTTTTAAAAGTTCCTGGAGTCAGGTTCCATGTGCTTTTGTAGAGCCTAGCAGACAACTCTATTTCTAAAAATTCACTCTCCATGAAATAAAGAATTCTTTCACAATGAATATCGATTCAGAAGAATGTACTGATAGCAGAGTTACAAACAGGACTCGGAAGCTCTTAAGATATTAATTTCTTAAGTAACAAAACCTTCCAAAAGAGCCTGAAGTTAAACTTGATGTATATGCAATACACTTGCTCCCTTCCCTCCCCAAAAACACTATTGAAAAAAACCCCACATGCATCTTCTCTGACATAATTAATAACCATTGAAAGAAAAATCAAACTGCACACTGAATCTCAAAATAGTAGAAATTGCAGTAACAACAAGAAAGATCATGTCTTCTTTCTCTGCTTCATTGTTAGTAGACAACTGAGTAGATAAGAAATCTTTACCTTGATCCACACTGCAAAATAGGTAACTTTTTTTTTACTAAAGTACAAAGAAAAAAATAGATATTCTTAAGTCAAAATCCCATTTCCTTAGCAGTAGTTTCTTCTTTGCAGCATAATGAAGCCCAAAGATTAATATGACTTTATCTTCACTACAGGAATCAAGTGTATTTGGTTATACATATGAAGAATCACACTTGCTACTGTGGTATTTACCAGGACTCTCTACTGAAGCCATGTTCAGTATTCTAATCAGACACATGCCAGCAAGTTCTTTTGGAATCAGGACTGTTAATAACTAGCTGCCATAATAACTAGTAACTAATAATTGCCTATGAGGTTATGGTCAGCACAGGGTTGACTCTTCATACATGTTTACATTTAGAAGTCCAGAAACAGCTTTATAAGTATTTTTCCAATACATATATTACAAAGGTTTTTTCTCATTCACATTTAAAAAAACCCAACGACAGAACTAAAGAATAATGGAATTAAAGCTTTCCCAAACATTTTACAAAAGCAGAGAGAATGAACATGATATATGCCAAAGCACAGTTCAAGATGTCAGCCTTTCTCCTTTCTATGTAATAAATATAATCTCTAATTGAGAAATCAAGACCAGGGCTTCAAAAGAGCTGAGTCCTAGTTGGTGATTGATGAGAACTCTTGATTTGGAAATTTTAACTATGATACTTGTCTGTGTAACTGGTGAACTATGAAAGCCCGCTAATCAGAGAAAACAGCTGGTATGAAAAGAGGAATCTGTGTTTTGCAGTCAGCCTAATCAATGACTAGCTGGCCAGCAATAAGTGATTCAAACTAAAATGTTCCAAGCCTTTTAAAAGAGCAGTTACCACTGCCATCCTTCTGCCCAAGAGAGAACATATATATCAGCACCTATTCATTAACTTGCAAGTTGGTTTCTTGTCCTGTAGCCCTCCAAAGCATTTCATGGGTATTAATTTGTACATTGTTCTGCTCAGTGCTTTCATTGCTCTGTTCAGTTCTTTCCCTTGATGCTGCTGGTTTCTCTTCATGCTGATCTGCATCAGTTCATGGAGAGTCACAGTACCACTCTTTTTTCTTCTTCTTCTTCTTTTGTAGCAGAAGATTAAGATATCCCCTTTTTCTTCACAAAGCTCTCTTTGCTCGGTACTAACCTTGTAGTCACTGCAGAACAGCTCACAAGAGACCGCTGCCTTTGGTACCCACATTCTGTTGTTATATTTTGGTACATCACCTTGAGTCTGCAACGTTTTTAACTCATATGACTCACTATCTTAGCACATTTTCCATTTGTGTTTTTCACACACAGACTCATAATACACCTATTTTTAACATCAGTAGTTACTTAATCGGATACTTCTAAGCTTTCTAGTGAAGACTTTTTTTTTTAATACTCTAATGCCACACAAGGATTTTTAAAAACAATTTTTATGCCATTTTCTACAAGCCTTTATGTTATAGATAGCTTTGACACAAATAAGCTTTAAAATTTACTCTAGGAAAAACATATTAATTAATAATCAGGTTATTATCATACGCTATATCATGTAAATACATACATGGAGGTTAAAAGGCAATGTGAGTTAGGATAATATAAAACATTTACAACATCTTATAACCATGATGCAAGCCATGGAATTATTGCTTCAGTAAGAGCACCAAAAAGATCTACTCACATGCAATCAAGACACAATTTCACGTGAAGGTACAAGCACCTGAAGACTCCATGACACAGAGGTAAACATACAACTGGCAGGTCTAGCAATGCACCCTATGAATTCCTTTCCACAAGGAGCCTGACTGAGTGCTTCTTATGCCTCCATGCACAGAGCATAGATCTCTGCCTTTTACAGTAGGTCTTTAATTGGCATTTTGCTTTCTGCAGACTGAACATATATGGGTTTCTCTGAAAATTCAAAGGGAATGCTTCCCATCTTTTTTTTTACCTAGTCTTAAAACGAAGTTAATTTCTTGCTTCCCTATGTTTCTGAGGTCTTGCCAATTACAAACAGCTTATATAAGAAGGTAGAAGGGGTGTAAGGGCTTAAACCACAAAAAAAAAAATCATCTGAATAATTCATAGGTCTGTAAGAAGATATTAAAGACCTAAAATATCCCTGTGGAAAGGATCTTACGGATGATTAAAATGACACATTTCTATAGATACAGTCCACTAAATCCTTATTTAAAGCCCTAAAAAGCTTCTTTTTCAAGCACACCATAATGTAAAATCTCTTGGACAAAGTCTTTTGAACATATTTTCACTTTAAAATGGATTTTGATCTAAAAGCATCAGCTCTAAGGATGATGTTTCAACATTCACAAGGACTCCAGATAAGTGCAAGATAGTCCTCTGATGGTGATTTTCAGTCATTGTAATTGAGCTCAAATTAAAGTGAGTCCCAGCTGCAAATGACCACTGACTAAACCATTAATCCTGTCTACAAAACTTTCACTCATGCTTGTTTTTAAGAACTAAATTAAGAGTTAAATTTCTTAAGTAGTTCAGAGCTGAAGACAAATGACATATGGAACCCTGATTCTTTTTCCCAAAATATGTATTTAGTAGAGTTAATGTATTTTATCTCTGACTGCACAGTCACTATAGTTGTATTCAAAACTCGAAAAACTATTCATATAGATCTATCAGCAGTAGCTGTGAGGAGCAAAGGTTCCTGCAAAATACTTTTTAATAGTCTGTTTCCAGATACATTTAGCTTCCAAGAATCAAAATTTCCCACCATCTTAAGCCTAAGAAATATAAAACTTTTAAAATTACATAATTAAATCACATTACCAGGGTTAGAGAAGCTTGCTATTCATTATTCAGCAACAATTTGTGTTTTGTGGCAGTCTTTGTGTAAATGAGATAGTACTCTGGATTAAAGCAATTTAAACGTACCTTTCTTTAAACTCCTTTGGCTTCTCTAGACTTTTCTGATCTTTTCCTTCAATCATTTCAGAATTATTTTGATCTTCTGTAGTCTCTTCAAAAGTCTTAAAAGACAAAGAACAAATAACAAAAATTTTTAAAAATTGAAAAATTATAGCCACATGCTGCAAACGTTTTCTAAACCTGATGAATCAGTGCACAGTAGTAGAGTTTTTGTAGCCAAGACAGTCTGAAAAAATAAGCAGAAGAAGATTAAAGAGATGCAGTATTTTTTGTTGGACCAACTGTAACAACTGGAATAAACACAGAAGTTTTTGAGTACAGACTCTACATATCTATTCAGAAGAAGTAGCTCCTTACACGGTCTCCTTCAAAGTTACAAATAAATGCTCCACATCCCTTCTTACTGTATGTTTATACAGCACATACCACATTAGGAACTTTAGTCTGTAACTAGGAGTGTCAAACAGCATCACAAAACATAAATAGAAAACACCACCTGTGCACAGTATGCTTCTATCAGCATAAGGCTGGCTGAAGTGGACACGGCTGGCACAGCAGTAAACGGAGTCCTTGATCATCTGGTCCAGAGAGGTAAAAGTGTCCAGACGCAATACTATAAAAACTCACCAAACTCTTTACCAGATTGGCCTACTGGGCTATTCAGGCTTAGGAGAGATCTTTTACCTCCCAGCAGAGGAGTAGGTCAAAATGCTGTCCCGACAAAGTCCTTTTTTTGGAAGACTATCCCTTTGGAATCAGTGCTTCTTCTAGTCAGTGCAACTGTACTGATCTCCTGTCTAAAATCAGCCAGTTTTACCTCTGAGTATTATTTACCCACTCATTTACATGGTTCTAATTGCAAGGCATATTTAAACACATTCACATTAACAAAACCTTAAACACCAGTAGGACCTGTGAAGGCTGTATACTCAAGCCCTGGCGCTTACTAAGGAATGGCTCTGCTATATTTTTAAGTGTGTTCTCTGGCCCTCTTGAGCTAGCACGAAAGTCACCATGACACAGTGCCTTGACGGAAATTATGGTGTAAACTGAGGTCAAGAGAAAGCAAGTTTTAAAAGCCTTTACATTCACGGACTACTCTTCTCTAAGAAAACATATGTGATGCTATATAAACATAATTACTAATACTGGAATCATCCTGTTGGTCTGTGTGCTTGAAAATACACTAGTTCTTTATGTTTCAGAAAATATATGGTGGTATATATAAGTACATATAAAAATGTGGTTATATAAAATAAAATTAAAATTGTTACCTTTTTAAAATAATTAATTTTCATTTCTAATTCATCTGCTTCTTTTTCTAGTTCAATGGCTTCTTGTGTAGCAACTGCAGCAAGCTTTAACATTTCCTGTGTTTTTTGCCTCGAAGAAGCACTTTCATGTTATGGAATATAGATTGCAATGTTACTTTTTTCAAGCAAGGGATACTATCAGATCCCTGACCCCTCTATGCCATAAGCACAAATGCTGGAGGTGCAGAAAGCTCTGACAAATCTACATTTACTAGACAAGTCTTCAAATTTAACTTCATTTAGGCTTCTCCTCCTTAATGAAGCATTTTGACAGGTATGTCATTAAGTGGAATTTTACTTTCTTTCCTCAGAATGTTCCCATAAGTTTAAACTGAAGAGTATTATCTGACCTTCAGTTTTCTCAGAGAGAAATGCTAATGCTGCCACTTTAAACATAAATATATAAATAATTACTATACTTTTTAATAGAAAGTTGTGAAAGGTAAATATAAACTTTCTCCCCTGTAAACTGCATAAACACTACAAATCAAGGATACATCCACAAAGCCCAGTCATTCAGGGATTTAAAAGAAACAGGCTCTGCAGAAATAAAATTTAATTTCAGATCATTAATTCACAAATCTAGTTTTACTAATTTACAAATACAAGATAAATTAATAGAACAGGAGCACTTATATTTACTTTGTATACGTAACAAGAATAGCAGTGTAACAGAGAGCAATGCCATTAAAAACAGCACTAAAAATATATGAAGAATAAGTTTAAAATTTTGAGAGGCTAGTTCTAAAGTAATTTTAGGACTTTTTTAACCCAAGAAGCCCAATGGCAAACCTCTCCTCGTTACATTCATGGGCTGGAGGAATGTTCGTACGTACACTCTAAATTCTTATGTATACTCTAAATTCTTGTTCAAAGTCTTGGTTTGCTACAGATTTTTTCCTAAAAATGGTGTAACAAAAAGACAACTTTTTATTAGCTTAAGAGAAACTGTGGAAAATTAATTAGAGTATTTATGTACAGCACTTTCAATGTGCAGTGCCCTACCAATAGGCTCTACTGTAAAAACATTGATAATAGTGGTACCCAGAATATCCATGCAAGTATCTTCTTTCAATTTATATTTTTCAGTTTGTTTCAAAACTCTGTTTTGGATTTCTTCAAGCTCTTTCTTTTTTTTGTAATACTCCTGTGCAAGAGCAGTTTCTGCATATTTTTCACGGTGTTCCTTCAAAATCTCTTTATACTGGGTTATGTAATCCTGATACATTTTCCTATAAAAATACATGTAATTTAATTTTTTTCACATTAAGCCATTGTTTATAAGGAAAAAAACCTATTAATTTATGGCATCAGCTCAATTAGACTTGCTGCTGTCCTGGAAAAAAGTCAGATTATATTTAATATACCACTATTTGGCTCTATTTTTTATCTTCCAGCTATTTTCAAGGAATATTATGCTGTATGTAACAAAGAATACACTCATGATGCAGAAAACAGTCAAACCTCATTGTTCTGAAAGGAATGCAGACCATACCATATTCAAAGGCAACCTGGTAGATGACAAATGTTTCTTCCCCTGTGCAATTTCATGAAACTCACAGCAGGCCAAATTCTCTATTCATGTATATTGGCACAACTCCACCGGTTTCAGTGCAGCTGTACCAAACTTACAGTAAAAGAGAATTTGGCCTAGCATCCCATATTTAGAGCTGCCTGATGCACCACTGGACTAAGTCCTGCCTCCAAGGAGATGCTGAGTAATCTGTGTCTGACTCAGGGAAGCTTTAACACGCACATTAGTCACACTAAAACAATAGGACCATTCATGCGTAAGGTTAAGCAAACACTTAAATGTTTAATTGGCAAAGAGCCAGAATGCTCAGCTTCTTGTAGGACTGCCCTCTAAATTAATGTTACACTAATATAATTTCACTGACATCATGTGAGTATATAGCTACAAATTATTAAAGTAGGTTGCATCAATTCATGTTCATGACATTTTAAAAGTTTAAATTGGCTTTTGAAAAAAATGTACTATAAAAACAAACAAATACCATAACAAGTAATAGGATGTAACTCATCACATAAAGCTGAAAATAGATCAATATTACGTTTGGAAAGAAAAGAAAGAAAAGTGCTGTTGCACAGAACAGCCATCCTTCTCTGTTAAATCAATGACAGTGACTACATTGGAAAAGACTTTTTTTTTTCAGGTTTTCTCATTCAGGCAAGGAATCTACAGGATAGATTGCTAACGGCAGATCAAATATTGCTAACGGCAGATCAAATATTCAACTACCTCATTGGGAGAAGTCTTTTATTACACCAATAATGCTGCTAGGCATAACTCCTATTACAGGTAATTTCCAGTACAAAGGTAGTATCTTTTGGGAAAACTGAATAATTAACAATGCAATCAAGGAACTAGTTCTGGTTCTTAATGTCACACACAGGTAACCTAAGTATAGACCTCCAGGAAGTCTGTATTTCCCACATAGACAAGAGGTAACCATTGATAGTTTTTAAAATGATGAAGAATAACAACCAGTGCCCAGTAACTGTATTTCTCCCTGCATTTGAAAGCAAAAGCTTAATAACTACTTAAAATTAAATTACAATACATCATTTTTCTGAATGTTGATATTCTATGTCCCTTATTCCTGAAAAGAAGATGAATTTAGGCATATGCAAAATACATAAGAGTTCACTGGTGAGCATTTATGCAGATGGCACATGTTTATAAAGAGATATCACAGCTACAGACATCCAGCATGTATCATTAACACAGACTAGTCATTTAACTGAGAAAGAAATATTACACAAAGTTGCTTGATATTAGAATACGCCAATATAAAATCACAGAAGGTGAAGGAAATGTCATCCTCCAGGAAAAGGTTATGTGAGCAATAGAGAGAGTCAAATTTAAAAATACTAAGTTATTAGTACACCTGTAGATTAGCCAGAAATTCCTTTATGAAACAAATTATGGTGCATAATAGCAACTAAAGCCAGAGACCCACCTGTTTACCTGCACCACGAATAAAGCCTACATTAAGGAACAGCTCTCACTGCTTATGAAGCATACAGTATACCTCGTTGAAGAACACATTTTATCTCAAACTGCTATTAATCATTTAAATGCAGCATGACTGCAAGGCAGACACACCTGGCTGCCTGCTGGCTAGCCCAGGAAATGGAAGAAAGAAAAATTTGTGTCCAAATTCAGTAGTAGAAGCTTCTGCTCTTACAAAAGGAAAACAAAAGTCACAGGGAAAAAAAAAAAGTAAGATCTTAATTTTCAAATAAAACTACACTCCAGGCACTATTTCCTCTTAAATTGACCAAAGTTCAATATACCTGTTTAGGGGAAAGAAGTTGTAGATCAACACTGTGAAACCAAGGAATTAACACTTCCCAAACTTCATGTAGAAAATTAATCTATTTGGTTTTCTACATGCGTGGTCTCGGGAATCTCAGTTTCTTGAATTACTGAGTATTTGTGTATACTGTACAAAATTTCCCAGATATGAAAGCTGGAAAATATTCAGTTCTGTTTAATTTAATATATGCTATAAACAATAACTGAGCAACAAAGAAATTTGCTGATATACAATTACAAATAAATTTTAAAAATATAAATAAGTAAAATAATTTGTTGTAGCAGGTACATTTCAAGCTTCTGAAAATAATCCTCAAACTTTATATTCTTTTCCCAAAATTTTTCCACGGATTAATATTTATGGCCAGATATAGTATAGTATAGGAGTCTTGAGAAATTGTCACTACTTTTAATATGTTTCCTAAGTAATTCACATCCTCCAGTTCAGGCAGTTAAACTCAGGCTATTTAGAATTCAGCACTGTTCACATTAAAGTCATTACAAAAAGTTTTAATCTAATGACAATGGGGAAAGGACAGCACCCACAAAACCCCTGAATGTTATGTGGATAGCTAGTTATTCCTCTTTTCTTCTTCATGGCACTTATTTTCAGGATGAACTTCCAGTTCACATAAGCGTTCTTACATATTCTTGAAACCAAAAATAATGAAAAAATGTGGTACGTTTTTAAAACCTCCATAATAAGTGCCTAATTAAATGCAAACTGATCTGCCCATCTTTTTAAAACATCTTCCCATCTAAAGCAGTATGTCCTCAGTGCCCCCAAATGCCAGGCTAAAAAGCACATTCAGCACATGAAGTTCTAAATACACTTATTTTTCTTCCTAATTTAAATACTTAGAATTTGCTGAATGCACATCTTGCTGACTTGAATATAACATCAAATGCTTCAGTACAGAGGGACTATATTTAAGAAGATAACTTTTGTAAAAAACATGAATTAAATTTATTTTATGATTTATAGTCATGATGTCTTATAATTAATCTCAGGAAAACAGATCAAACACTTTCATGTTGGAATTGAAACTAGTTATCTAAAGAAGCAATTTAAAAGTAATGCTTCTTTGGCTTGTCAGCTTAAATTAGTGAAAGCCAAAATGGCTTAATCATATACTCATAGAAAGCCAATTTAGCCCTATTTTTCACTAAATGTAGAGCTCTGAACAGGAAGAGGACAGATAAGCTACTAACTGAGTTAATTAAAGGCTATCAGGCATGCTCCTTCTGCTGTCTTGGACAACTGGCAAAAAGAACACTTACAAAAGAACCAAAGCCAACATTTTCCATTACCTAGTTACACCTCTAAATTGCTGTTTAGATATCTAGATGAATCTGCCATGATTTTTTCACCATAGGGGTAACCAACCTCTTCCCCTTCACAGGCAGATCAGTAAAGGTGAGCAACCTCTTTAAAATGAAGATCAGTTTTATCTGAGTGTTAAATAGAACTTCAGAGGGTTAACTGCCAAGTTAACACTGCATTTTGAACATTTCAGTGACAATCTTCAGCGACTGTTATTTCTTCCATTGACTGTAGGCAGCTACATTCCACAACTAATCATTTCTTTAAAATGCAGAATCTAATTAATGAAGCTGAAACAACTGAAATGCCACTTACTGAACAGAACTGAATCTGCAATTAATACTGACTACAATCTTACCCACAACTGGTCTTAAAATGTTTTTAGACCAGGCTTTCCTGAGCTACTCACCCTATTTTTCAGGATCTAATATTAAATTTGCATGCTTTGTGGTTATTTTGAAGAATATACAGCAATATACAAAAACTTGATTTGTATATTCTAATAGTCATATCCAATTCATATTCACAAATAAAGAAATGCATAACATTATCTGAATGCTTCTAATTGTTATCTTACTTAGTCCATATATGAATTTAAAGGCTTAGGTTCAATTAAATGATGCTTCTGACAAAAAACATAAAACCTCTGTATTTTCAAACAAGTCTTCCCAAACCTGAATATCTGAAAATACTGAAATCACACGCTACATGAAGAAATGTCATTATAATGGCAAAAAAAATCATTCATAGATAAAACCTACATATGCTCTTGTAAATACGCTCTGACATTTCATATTTCTGCCAAAGCTGAAACATTCACTGCCTTTATTTCTTGGATTTTTCTTTAAATTGTAGGCAATTGAATAATGTTCTGAAAAATTACAATAGGCATTTGGGAAGCAATTGAATTTGAATAAGCCATATTTTATCCTATTCCACTGGTAACTACAAAATAACACATGACCTCATAATAATGTAAACCGAAAATTCTTTTAATTACTCAGTCACTTATATTATCCTGAAAAGTTTACAGCAACTTTTTGATGCAGACTGAACTATCTTTGCTGATCAGTTTAGACAGGTTAATAAGCACTACTGCTAGAAACCTCATCTCACATGATCATAGAATCATAGAACCGTTTAGGTTGGAAAAGACCTTTAAGATCATCAAGCCCAACCGTTAACCTAGCACTGCCAAGTCCACCACTAAACCACGTCCCTAAGCACCACATCTACACGTCTTTTCAATACCTCCAGGGATGGGGACTCAAATCGTGATCATAGGTACCTCTCATTTTCTGTAGCTTCTTCTAAAGCTTCAAGTTCATTTTTCAAATATTCTCCATGCTTGCTAAGAATTGCATAGGTGGGCTTCCAACTGTGGAGAAAGTAAAAAAACAAAAAGCATATAAGTGGTCTTTCCTAATAAAAAGCCACTCAGAAAAGAAGACATCAAGTTACTTTAGCTAGCTTACTAGAACAAATAATCTGCTTAATGTTTTGTAAGTCAAACATAGAATCATAGAATCATTTAGGTTGGAAAAGACCTTTAAGATCACCCAGTCCAACCATTAACTTAACATTACCAAGCCCACCACTAAACCAATTAAGGGTAGAGTAGCAAATTCATGTTTCCTGGCTTGGTGGCTGGATCATTCACAATGAAAGTAAGAACTACAAATCATTATGATTGGAAAGGACCTCTAAGATCATCATTCCAAT